CGTGACTTGCAGAAAGGTGAAACGGACGTACAGGCTCAGGACTCGGCTGGCGTCGTGCTTCTGCTCGGCGTGCCAGCGTTGCGAGTATGAGCAGTGCTACGTCAGCAAGACGTACCCACGTCTCGTTCCCGCATTGCAGGAGGGCGAAGTGAAGGAAACGGTGATCACGAATACTGGAGTAGCGCCCGTAGACGAAGATAACTCCCGGGGGATCAAGTTCGGGAGTAGGAAGAAGGAATGCAACATGAAGAGAGTTACTGGGACACAACGGCAGGAATGCGAATCTGCTGCTGCGTCAAAGATTTGGGAAGATCTTAGTAGGAAGGAAGAGCTCAATATTTTTGCAGGTTTCGGCAGGTGGGCTGGATCTTAAGGGATGTGCTTCTTGTATTTGCTTGTGGAGCAGTAGGTGGGGTTCAAAGCCCGTTTGAGGTACAACTTGGGGGTGTGGGGGGCGGGGGGTACCCGAGAAGGTGTGAACAATACTTGAAATAATTTGATTTTCTTCAAAGCGAGGTGATGCTGCTAAATATGTGCCTGTAGCTCAAGACCAAAATGAAATTTAAACAAAACGATCACGGATTCGTAATCCCCACCCAAAAATTACCCTGACCTGAAATTTTCAGATCGATCTGACCACTTCTGAAAAAGCGGGGATTTTTCGGGACCATCCCCTGGGTTGTGCGTTTTTCGAATTCCCTGGGTAAAGAAGGAAATTGATGTGAAACCCGGCCAAAAACATTTAAAAAAAAAAAAGCGAATCCACTTTTTACATCCACGGAGTAGTATGTCATAAAATTTTCAGACCTTAGCCGGGGATAGTTCATCACCAACCCCCCCCCGAAATAATTCATGACGGTCAGTTGCGGATGGCGCCTATAGTTTAGTTCGACATGGAGACCACCTGATCATGATGTAAAATCATCAACCAACTAACCAACCAACCAACCAACCAACCAATCAACCAATCAACCAACCATGTGCATAGTTGGTACACACACTGGTCGCCCCGGTGGTCTATTCTAGTGGGCACCCTCGCAGCCTGCTAAGGGCCAGGTCATGGGTCCGAGTCCCGGTAGAGTGAGTTTCTTCTACTCTCACTAAATAAATCCTGGTCTAGGATGAAAGCGATGCGCTGCACAGCTCGTTGTTAGTAAACCATAGTCGACTTCGTAAGTCGCAAGGGAAGGGATTGCTGTACCCTTCCCGCGATAAAAATACCTCAGACAGGAACCGCAGGAGGGGGTCCAACACCCCCCTCCTGTGTGACCCCGGTTAAGTCGTCTAGCTAGTAGAAGAAGTGGAGGATAGGGGCCAGAGGGAGGGGCAGACGATAGAGTCCAATGATGGGAGAAAAAAATAAGGGTGTGTTTTGTAAGGTACATACCGGTCACCCCGGTGGTCTAGTGGGTAATCTCGCAGCCTGCTAAGGGCCAGGTCATGGGTTCGAGTCCCGGCAGAGTGAGTTTTATTCTCACTAAATAAATGCTGGTCTAGGATGAATGAATGCGACGCGCTGCAAAGCTCGTTGTTAGCCAACCATAATCGACTTCGAAAGTCGCCAGGGAAGGGATTGCTGTACCCTTCTCGCGATAAAATACCTCAGGCAGGAACCGCAGGAGGGGGTCCAGCCTCCCCCTCCTATGTGACCCCGGTTGGGTCGTCTAGCTAGTAGAAGTGGAGGATAGGGGCCAGAGGGGCAGCCGACAGAGTCCAATGATGGGAGAAAAAAAAAGAAAAAAATACCGAGGCGTACCAGCGGTATTATACCTACCTCCGGTATACCGGTACCGAGATGTTCGGTACGTTCGGTATGGACTTGAATACCTTACCGAAGTGTTCGGTACGTTCGGTACGGACTTTAATACTTTACCGAAAATGCCGGTACGTTCGGTGTGGACTTCAATGCCTTACCGAAGTTTTCGGTACGTTCGGTACATACCGAGATGTTCGGTATGGTACCGGTATGGACTGCCATACCATACCACCGGGGATGCTCGGTACGTTCGGTATGGACTTGAATACCTTANCAGAGCCCACCGCCCGACGCGATACCGCCCTGAAACAGTTTGAGCAGAAATAGCCAATCTGGGCAAATCTAGCAACTTGTCTAGCTCCTCGCTGCAGCATCCGATGACGATGACACGCATATGCTCGCGAAGCTGCTGATGAGACCTTCAATTTGCACCGCTTCTTGGAATAGCCCGTCCCCTACTTGCCAAGAAATGGCAAGAGGCGTCTGGACCCGAAATTTCAATTTTTTTGGCTTTCGCTCTCAATCAGATACTTCGCTCTCAATCAGGAGAATATGTTGTTCTTACCGAAAATACCGGTGCGTTCGGTACGGACTTCAATACCTTACCGAAGTGTTCGGTACGTTCGGTACGATGTAAATACCGGTACCGGTGCGATACCGGTACCAAGCGTACCGGTATCGGGCTAATCGGGACGTTAGGCATGACATTCACCCGCTACCGCCACACACACGCACAGCACCCACAGACCAGCAGCACAGCAGTGTACCGGCGTACCCTACTCAACCGGTACAGCGTACAGCTGGTGGTGCGCACGAGCACCAGCCGCCCTCATGAGCAACACACCACCCCCCCCCAGCAACAACAACGAGGACCCCGCAGCTGGCGATCAAAGCTCATCATCGTCAGCGCCGGCGCCAGCACCTGCTGATGCAGAGGTTTCTGATTCGGATTGACTCCATACCATTTTTTTTTGTCTCACTGTTATGCGCACACACACGTTCTTGATGGGCGATATCAATATTGATAATAGTTTTTTTTTTGAAAAAGTGTGGCCCGGTAGGGG